ATATATATGAATAAAACCATTTATGACAAACCCACAGCTAACGTCATACTCAACAGTGAAAATTGAAAGGACTTTCTATAAGATCAGGAAGAAGGTAAGAATGCCCTCTCTCGCCACATTTTTCAGATGTTCCTGCCACAGCCAAGAAGAAGAAAAAATAAAAGGAATCCAAATCTGAAAGAAAGAAGTAAAATGGTCACCGTTTGCAGATGATATGGTACTATACATTGAAAATCCTAAAGATGCCACTGAAAAAGCACTAGAGTTCATCAATTAATAAAGTTACAGGATACAAATTTAATATATAGAAATCTGCTGCATTTCTATACATTAACAATAAAATGCCAAAATGAGAATTTTTTTAAATCCCACTTGCCATCACACTAAAAAATACCTAGGGAATAAATTTAACCATGGAGATAAAATACCTGTACTCAGAAAACTATAAAACACTGTGAAAGAAATGGAAGATGATACAAACTGATGCAAAGATATACCATGTTGATGGATGGGAAGAATTAATATTGTTAAGATGACCACACTACCCAAGACAATCTACAGATTCAATGCAATCCCTATCAAACTAACAGTGGTACACTTCACAGAAATAAACAAGTAATTTTAAGATTTTTATGGAAACACAAAAGACGCTGAAAAGCCAAAACAATATTGAAAAAAATAACAGTTCGAGGTATCATGCTTCCTGAGTTCATACAAAGTCATCAAAACAGTATGGTACTGGCCACAAAATAGACACATAGAACAATGAATAGAGAATAGAGAGAACAGAGAGCTCAGAAATAAACTCACACATTTATGGTTGGTCAATCTATGACAAAGAGGCAAGAAAACACAATGAGGAAAATACAGTCTCTTTAATAGTGGTGCTGGGAAAACTGGATAACTACATATAAAAGAATAAAATTATAACATTTTCTCACATCATATTCAAAAATAAACTCAGAATGGATTAAAGACCTAGATGTACAACTGGAAACCATAAAACTTCCAAAAGAGAACAGAGAATACTCTGACATAAATCAAAGCAATATTTTTGGATCTGTGGCCTAAGGCAAATAGGACCTAATTTGAGGTCGATCTTCATGCCATGTGTAGAAGAGATGAAATCCCATTATAACCCCATCCTATTCCAAGCACGGCCTATGAGCCTCATCTCTGTTGCTGACCTGGTCAGAGAAGCCACAATATTCACTGCCTAAAGTCATAAACTGTGTTTTGAACACAGAAGTAATTCAGCCTCATATAAACTAACATTTCACACATCAAAAAAATTAATACATAATTCTGCCACTATCTCTACTTTCCTCAAAGAGGTCAAATTTAAATTCAAGTGACCAAGGGAAAAAAAAATTCACAGAAAGAGAAGGTACACCTGCAATGCAGGAGACCTGGGTTCAGTCCCGGGGTTGGGAAGATCCCCTAGATAAGGGAAGGGCTTCCCACTCCAGTATTCCGGCCTGGAGAATTCCAGGGTCACACAGCGTCAGACATGACTGAGCGACGTTCACTTCACGAAGTAGCACATAAGTCACAAGTCACAAATCCACTGGGAACTCTGAGAGAAGGACGCGGTTTGCTGATTTGGAACCAGATTTAGCACGCTCACAGGTAGCAGGAAACTAAGCCACAAGGTCTGATGATACAATACTTCTGCCTAAAATAAACAGTGGTCTTATTAAGCAACTACTTTCTACCCTCCTGGAATATCAGGGTATATACCGGTGTCTGAGTCAAGTCTCTTCCCTCCAAACAACTCTCCTCCATCGCTTGGAGTTTCTGGGCTCCAAGTCATGGCTTGAAATTCACCTCAACAGAATCCACGGACTGACTGACATATGTCACTCTCTAATCCTCCAACACAATGGCTGAATCTTCTCTGAGCCAGAACATTTTTTATTTAAAGTTAGCTGTTTCTTCATGTGTAATAGTCCATGTAGCCTATCTTCAAATGTAAAGTGACTGAGGGCAAGACATCCTGGTTGTTAAGGCAAATTCTAGCACTGCTATTTACCAACTGAACTGACACAGTTTTGCTCATGGACATGAAAATCATGCAATAAAATTGATACTGTGCAAAACATGTTTTATTGTGATCAGATTCCTCAATAACAAAAATGAAGCCCCAAGTTACTGGTGTCATGTAACACGGGCAAAACTGTGTGCATTCATGCCACAATGCTATTAATTCTTTACCTTTATAAAAGAACAATGGATTAGCTTTAAAATTAAGCAAGATGACAGCATTCAAATAATACAAATTCAGAAATGGATAAATTATTAATCCTATTAGTTATAAAGTTTGTAATATTTAATCAAGCATAAGACATACTGAGATTCAGTGAATAACACAGTATTAAGATTTTTGCCACTTTGTCTTTGAAATGATGGCTGCCTTTTCTTTAAATCTTCAATGAATGTGTAATGTATAACAAATACATTTTATGCATATAATTTTAAAAGAAAATTTGTGCCAAATGTGCATATAAAGCAATGTTTTAATGAGGAAATGATTAAATAGCTAAATGGAAATGATTAAATAGCTAATATTTAAATAGCTTAAACATAGTAAGTAGTTCCCAAAAACTTCTGATAAAAATTAAAGTACGGCTTCCCTTGTAGCTCAGTTGGTAAAGAATCTGCCTGCAATGCAGGAGCCCTGGGTTCAATCTCTGGAGAAGGAAATGGCAACCCACTCCAGTATTCTTGCCTGGAGAATCCCATGGACAAAGGAGCCTAGCAGGCTACTGTCCGTGGGGTCACAAGAGTCAGACATGACTTAGCAACTAAACACCACAACCACCACCAAAGCAGATGCAGATAACTGCAATCCTGTGTATCTATAAATATAAAAACCCATTTGATTATACATTCCAAATAGTCATGAGAGGCAATGTGCATTGTCGACAACTGCATGGCTAGACCAGTCAAATTCTTAGGTAGTCAAAATGAAGCTACATGTTCAAAGCTGTGGAGGAAACTCTGTGGTATACCCACTCCACAACAAGAACATATTTTTTTATTTAAATTGTTGTCCTATCCCTCACATAAATTAATAAAAAGTTATGTTCTAAGTAGTATTTAGTGTAACCTAATACTCAACAAATATTTCCACTCACACATTATTAGCATATGGGTTTCAAGAGTACTGATTACTACAAAAACAACCTCATATATAATTCAAGTAATTGATGAAAGGAATTTAGTCAGAAGCATAAAATGTTATTTGTAATTTAAATTAACATGTGAAATTATATTTTAAAACCTAATACAATCCTGAACTCATAAAAATGAATTATTTTGTTGAAGCAAAATTCTCTTTAATGTATACACTAACGTGCAGAGTACTTGGGCTTCCCAGGTTAGCACTAGAGTAAAGAACCTGCCTGCCAATGCAGGAGTCATTAGAGACGTGGGTTCAGTCTCTGGGTTGGGAAGATCCCCTGGAGGAAGGCATGACAACCCACTCCAGTATTCTAGACTGGAAAATACCATGGACAGAGGAGCCTGGCAGGCTGCAATCCACAGCACTGCAGAGAGTCGGACACGACTCAAGTGACTGCACACACATGCACAGGTGTGCGCAGAGTACTGGAAACGCTGACAACGCCAGGCACATGGTATATGTACTGAGAAACTTTTTGGTAAAAGTGACCTTCACCTAGATTGGGCTCACAATTAGCTAAAGGCTTTGGTCTGAGCAAGGCAGTAATAAGATCACAGTGCTGTGCTGTGTATATCTAAGTCAAGCCACGCTAGGCTTCCCTGCTGGCTCAGTTGGTAAAGAATCTACTTGCAATGCGGGAGACCTGAGTTCGATCCCTAGGCAGGGATGATTCCCTGGAGGAGGGCATGGCTACCCACTCCAGTATTCTTGCCTGGAAAATCCCACGAACAGAGGAGCCTGACAGGCTACAGTCCACGGGGTCGCAAAGAGTCAGACACAACTGAGCAAATAAGCACACATGCACACACGTGTGGCTACCAGAGTGAGCAGTTTCTGAAAAGCGTTCATTCTACTGTTCCTTCAGCTCTACCAAAGAATAGTAAGAGAGGGGAGTGAACAGACCTTCCAAGACTTGTGTAAGACATATATCAATAAAGGGGTGTGTTTGTGTTTGGTATTTTTTCAGGTGTGAATAACCATTTTACTAATATAAGTTAAGCATCTCCACTGAACAACCAATTACTGTAGAGGCAGAAGGAAAGTTGAGAGAAAATGAAACAATTTTGGGGAATGTGAATCCAACAGGCATTGTAAAATATCTATTTTCTTCCCATCATAAAACTCTGGCAAATTGCTGACTCAAATCAGGCTGTCAAGATTATAGATCCTGTCTGAGAATTTTTAAATCCCTATATGATTTCTTCTCTGAAATTATATTCATCAACATAAATTAACCAGAAACTTGCTTTTTTTTTTGGTTTCTGACATAGTAGAATTGTAATTAGACAATCAACATTTTAATGAAAACAGGGAAATGCAAAACTATTCCATAACTAGTATACGAAGATATATGCTTAGTATGGAAATTAATTAGTATGGAAACTAATGTAACACATGTAAACAAGGTGTTTAATTTTACTTAAGTGTTTTATTTTGATAATAGTTCACGCTGACTTTTTATTTAAGACAGAAGGTCAATAATGCAGGTTTATCTTTATATATTATATATTTACATGTGAAATATACTAAAAAATGTTCCCCTATACAAAATGACACCTATATCAAGTATATCTGACTTAAAAGAAATCACAAAAATAAAAATTATGTGAGGACAGTGGCATTCTGGGCATTTTTTTCTTCATTCTTTTATAACACAATTATTTGCTTTTGAAATTAAAATACATTTATTTTGGCTTAGTTATACATAAACAACCACTTCATCATTTATATATATTAAATAAAATTAAAAGAGTATGATTTATAAGTAAAATTATTATGGAGTCTTAAAATTAATATACATATAAAAGTCACATACCTGAGCCAACCTCTTTTTCCTCTTCTTCAATGTTGTTTTTGATACTATCATACTCCTCATCAATGGTCTGGTTACCACGCATCTGAGATAAAATTCTACGGGCCTTTTGAGTCTGTCCTTTCTGAATAAGCCATCGAGGGCTTTCAGGTAAAAAGAGAAAGCCAAAAAACTGTATAACTGCTGGAATTGCTGCAAGTCCCAGCATGTACCTGCAATAAGAAATCAATATATTGCTGTAAAATGTGGCCTTATAAATGCTGAGTATGAATATAAGTTTGCATTTACCACATTAGGAATAACATATAATGGTAAAATTAGATTTTCTTTTCATCATATATATATATATGTGTGTGTGTCATCAAAAATAACGACATTTTTCTACTGTAGCAGGAAATTGAAAAATAAGAAATCTGATTCTTCTTTATCTCTCCCACAAATTACAATGACAAGGAATGGACAAAAGTCACACTCATCACAGATATACATTCTGAACCAAACACAACATGCAAAACACCATAATCACCATTCCTATCTAACACTACTATAATTTTGCAATTTACAACATAAACATGGAGTTAAGACAAAATCCTCTAATATCTGGTTAGAAGATATACTGTTCATTAAAATACATGCTCAGATTTCTTTACAGTTATTTCTTCTCTGTAAATAACCAGTTATGATTTCATTTTGCCATCAAGCAGCCATATGTTTTCAGGCCAAAAGCACTTTACTTTGTTTTTTAAAAAAGACAAGGAGATGGGGAAGGACAGAGAGTTAGAAAGCATATAGTAGCCGATAGCAGAAAAAATATAGTTGGATGCAAATAATGATTATTAAAATGTTTAGGAATATGAAAAAGCTGCTTATGTTGTTTCAGTTGTCTTCTTCAGATGTCTGTTCTTATTTTAATTGTAGGATAATTACAATATTGTGATGGTTTTAGCCACACATCAACATAAGTGTCTATTCTTGATGACTGGCAAAATTCTAAATAGCAAATAAGCACACCACTTTAAATCCACCAGAGAAATAACAAAAATACCAATATGAATATATCAATATCAAATATCTCTTCAAATTATTCTGACCACTGGACTAATCTCCTAACATCTCCAGGCCTCAATTCTTTTAAACTGAGTTATATTACATAAACTTCAAGGCCTCTTTAAACTGCTGGGTTCTATGAATCTAGGAAGAATCAGACACAACTGAGCAACTTAAAAAAAAAAAATCAATCTAGGACACTTGGATGTTTCCTACTGATCCAAGTTCCCAGAATATTTTCCATGGTAGATATATGGTGGTAGAGCTCAGAAGGCCAGTCCTGATTACATAATAATCCATAAATTAATGAGAATCCACGTGACTAAATACACTTTTCAAAGCTATTCTAACATTTCAGTTCAGTTCAGTCGCTCAGGCATGTCTGAATCTCTACGACCCCATGGATTGCAGCACGCCAGGCTTCCCTGTCCATCACCAACTCCTGGAGCTTGCTCAAACTCATGTCCATTGAGCTGGTGATGCCATCCAACCATCTCAGCCTCTGTCATCCCCTTCTCCTTCCTTGAATCTTTCCCAGCATCAGAGTCTTTTCCAATGAGCCAGTTCTTCACATCAGGTGTTAAGCTATGCCAAACCAAAAGTACAGCAAACCTGAAGATTCCATACACATATTTTGTGAACAATTCTATTATTTTCCAGGCAATTTCATTTTAATTCCAAAGAGAGTAGAAAAGCAAAATACAACTGCTATATAAGTGTTCAGGGTATCTCTTATGACAAACTGTAGCAACAAATACACTCAGAAAAATTAACTAAGGTATAGAAAGTAAACGAAGTGTTTATGAATGACTGACTAAATAAATCACTTGACCTACAATATTAAAAGATCTTATTAGACATGTTTCATACTTTAATCCATTAATTTTGATGATTGCACCAATACTGAATCATTCCTTCCTCAGCTCACCTACAAAACATTTTTAACCTCAATTTATGTCATTATACCTTCAGTTCAGTTCAGTTAACTCACTCAGTCAGGTCCGACTCTTTGCGACTCCATGAACTGCAGCATGCCAGGCCTCCCTGTCCATCACCAACTCCTGGATTTCACTCAAACTCATGCCCATCGAGTCGGTGATGCCATCCAGCCATCTCATCCTCTGTCGCCCCCTTCTCCTCCTGCCCCCAATCCCTCCCAGCATCAGGGTCTTTTCCAATGAGTCAGCTCTTCACATCAGGTGGCCAAAGTACTGGAGTTTCAGCTTTAGCATCAGTCCTTCCAATGTACACCCAGGACTGATCTCCGTCAGGATGGACTGGTTGGATCTCCTTGCAGTACAAGGGACTCTCAAGAGTCTTCTCCACCACCACAATTCAAAAGCATCAATTCCTTGGTGCTCAGCTTTCTTCACAGTCCAACTCTCACATCCATACATGACCACTGGAAAAACCACAGCCTTGACCAGATGGACCTTTGTTGGCAAAGTAATGTCTCTTCTTTTTAATATGCTATCTAGGTTGGTCATAACTTTCCTTCCAAGGAGGAAGCGTCTTTTAATTTCATGGTTGCAATCACCATCTGCAGTGATTTTGGAGCCCAAAAAAATAAAGTCTGACACTGTTTCCACTGTCTCCCCATCTATTTCCCATGAGGTGATGGGACCAGATGCCATGATCTTAATTTTCTGAACGTTGAGCTTTAAGCCAACTTTTTCACTCTCCTCTTTCACGTTCATCAAGAGGCTTTTTAGTTCCTCTTCAGTTTCTGCCATAAGGGTGGTGTCATCTGCATATCTGAGGTTATTGATATTTCTCCTGGCAATCTTGATTCCAGTTTGTGCTTCATCCAGCCCAGCATTTCTCATGATGTACTCTGCATATAAGTTAAATAAGCAGGGTGACAATATACAGCCTTGACGTGTTCCTTTTCCTATTTGGAACCGGTCTGTTTTTCCATGTCCAGTTCTAACTGTTGCTTCCTGACCTGCATACAGATTTCTCAAGAGACAGGTCAGATGGTCTGGTATTCCCATCTCTCTAAGAATTTTCCACAGTTTGTTGTGATCCACACAGTCAAAGGCTTTGGCATAGTCAATAAAGCAGAAATAGATGTTTTTCTGGAACTCTCTTGCTTTTTCGATGATCCAGCGGATATTGGCAATTTGATCTCTGGTTCCTCTGCCTTTTCTAAAACCAGCTTGAACATCTGGAAGTTCTCGGTTCACGTGTTGCTGAAGCCTGGCTTGGAGAATTTTGAGCATTACTTTACTAGCCCGTGAGATGAGTGCAATTGTGCGGTAGTTTGAGCATTCTTTGCGATTGCCTTTCTTAGGGATTGGAATGAAAACTGACCTTTTCCAGTCCTGTGACCACTGGTGAGTTTTCCAAATTTGCTGGCATATTATACCTTATATTATAATAAATTATTTACCTATTTCACTTGATTGCATATTTAACCATGTATTCAGCAAAGGACCTTATAAAGTATCTTGCACAGTGGGTATTTAGTAACTGTTTTGTGAAATGATACAAAACAGCTATATAATATAAACTGTCTATAAAATCTAAACAGAAAATAACTGTTTCACATTTCTATAATAACAGTTTATGCAAAACCCTACTGGGTCATTTAGGTCTGCAAAGTTACAGAGTAATTCTTTCCAAGAAACTAAATTTTTGTAATTCAAGATATAACCAAAACTTTTCTTCTGAAGAAGACTCAATCGATGAGAACTAAAAAGATTAGCTAACCCAAAAGCATATTTCTGGCCTCTTTCCTTTACAATATTAATTTGTAGAACCAAATCTGTTACTTAGATGTATGATTTAATGCTGTAAATGAATGAAATTTCTATTAAGTTGTGTTCTCTCTTTAAAAATTTAAGAGAAAAGATTATCCTACACTGACAATTACTTAAAAGAAAAGCAATAAAAAGATGACTTGAAGAGTTTACTCATTGGAAGACCCTGATGCTGGGAAAGATTGATGGCAAGACGAGAAGAGGGCAACAAAAGATGAGATGGTTGGATGGCATCACTGACTCAACGCAAACGAGTTTGAGCAAACTCAAGGAGACAGTGAAGGACAGGGAAGCCTGGAGTGCTGCAGCTAATGGGGTGACAAAGAATCAGACACAAGTTAGCAACTGAACAAGAACAAATAAAAAGATAGAAAGCAAATATGTTGAATTAGGAAATAAATAAGAAAAATACTAAAGGTGAAACCCTTTATGTTCATCTCTTTATACCTTTCTCGATCTTTTATTCTGTTCTCCAAACCCCCTTTAGTGATGAATTAAGATTAAAGGGATACACTAAATACTTCAAAGAAGCACTGAAATGAATATAGAAACTGAATCATTTTTAGACCCAAAGATGCTCACGTAATACTTTGCACTATTGTAGGCTTCCCTGGTACACTTCATTATGCTCATTATGTTCACTTCATTACGTTCATTAAGAACATAAACTTTTTAAAAAATTAAAAGAAAAAATAAGAGGAGAAAAGGGAAAAGAAAAACACAAACATATATATTAGCTTGTTTTCTAAGCCAGCTGTAGGAGACAGAATACTTCAGCCCTCCAGTCCTGAAATTTCTAAATGCAAAGAGTCTAGATCTGACATTTACAATTCAATGACTTAATACCAGGATTAGAAAAAGAAACTCACATTCTACTGCCAAATTTTAAGGAAATTAAAGCCTATTTTCAGAGACTGGTCAAGATAAACATGTTTTATACACTTACATCCTAAGATTTCTCTTTTAAAAGTAAAACAAAGAAGCTTATTCTCAGTTCAGCTCAGTCGCTCAGTCGTGTCTGACTCTTTGTGACCCCATGGAATGCAGCACAGCAGGCTCCCCTGTCCATCACCAACACCCAGAGCTTGCTCAAACTTATGTCCATCGAGTTGGTGATAACATACAACCCATCTCATCCTCTGTCGGCCCATTCTCCTCCTGCCTTGAATCTTTCCCAGCATCAGGGTCTTTCCCAAAGAGTCAGTTCTTCATATCAGGTGGCCAAAGTATTGGAGCTTCAGCTTCAGCATCAGTCCTTCCAATGAATATTCAGGACTTATTTCCTTTAGCATTGAATGGTTTTATCTCCTTGCAGTCCAAGGGACTCTCAAGAGTCTTCTCCAACACCACATTTCAAAAGCATTAATTCTTCAGCACTCAGCTTTCTTTATGGTCCAACTCTC